CATACGAAAACCGATGCAAGCTTTTAGGATTGGACACACTGGCTAAAAGGAGAGATGACATGCGTGCTGTATTTGTTGGAAAATTACTTTGCGGAATAATTGATTCCCCTAACATTTTGGCTAAGTTGAATTTGAACGTGACCTCGAGAGTTCTTCGTTTCACGAACTTCCTCCGTCTTCCTTTTCACCGGACAGTTTACGGTCAAAACGAACCAATATGTGCTATGTGTAACATTTTTAACTCTGTTTTCCACTTGTTTGACTTTAACGTTAGCTGTGAAACATTTGTGTGATTAGTACAAGACACTGAAGAAGTCTGCACATTGTATACGAAATACGCGTATCTGTCAAGGATAAGCAAATAAAGTAGTGGAATTAAATGGAAAATACTAATCCTCTCTCTCTCATTATTTAAATGTCGTTTACGTAATCGCAATTTAGTATAGTTGTTTAAGTTTTTGTACGTTTAAATCATGTAGACCATGTTTGTCAGATGATTGTAGATAATAAATAAATAAATAAATCCGTAAAATTGGCCAATTCATGAAACTGATCCTAGAGCTCCGCGGGTTTTTAGAAACCACTCATAGACACCTTATCAGTTGAGTTCAGAATATGGACTCTGGAGACTACGGGATGGTCCACTGGAAGATCTGTTACATCCTTAAAAGTTCTCATTTCATGAAACTGATCTTAGGGCTCCACGGTTTTTAAGAAACCACTCATAGACGTCTTATCACAATAAAATCGGAGTTTTGACCAGACATTTTATTCTGGGGACCATGGGATAGTCCACTAAAATATCCGGAACATCCGTAAAAGTGGTAAATTCATTAAACTGATCCTAGAGCTCCGTGGTTTTTAGAAACTACTCATAGACATCTTATCAGAGCTTTCGGAGACGAACCAGCCCAGGGCTGAAAGTCTCCTAAGTAAAGATATATAATAAAAAATCTTATCAGAATGAATTCGGAGTTGAGTTCAGAATCTGGACTCTGGAGACTACGGGTTGGCCCATCGGAAGATCCGGAACATCCCTAAAAGTGCTCAATTCATGAAATTGATCCTTGAGTTCCACGGTTTTTTAGAAAGCACTCATAGACATCTTATCACTATAAAATCGGAGTTTTGACCAGACAGTTTATACTGGAGACCACGGGATGGTGCATTAGAAGATCCAGAAGATCATTGAAAGTGATTAATTCATGAAACTGATCCTAGTCCCAAAGTTGTATTAAGGAAGACAAAAATGTTTGCGCCCAAACCGTCAGTTTTAGGTAAAGTGTCTTCGGGAAAGTTTCTTCGTATTTTTTAGCCGATTTGAAATTAGGGTGGTCCTTAAGATTGGTGAATGTGAATGGCCGATCTTTTTTAGGTTAGTAAAATTAGGGTGGTCCACAAAATTGGAGATTTGAAAATACAAACTTTTTTATTATTATTTGAGATAGACCAATAGAATGTTCTGAAAGTTTTAGAACAATCAATTCGAAGCAATTTAGCTCAAAACACCAAATTTCTATCGCTTATGGTTCATGAGTTATGATTTTTTTAAAAATCATGTTAGAATGGCCCCTAAAAAAACAGATTTCTTCGAATATATTTTCATAAGTTCATTTATCTTGTTTTGGTTACATTTAGAACTTATAATGACGCATATTTTTGCTGAAGCAACCAGGCTGCTATATTTTTTCATTATTAGCAAATTAATGGAGATTTTCTTCGAAAAAAAATGGTTCTATTAAAATGACAATGTCTCAAAATGGAGCAAACCGATTTTCAAACTTTTGATTTCATTAAAAGATCGTGGTTTTTCATTATTGGTGGAAAAACTGTAAGAGCGTTATTTGTTTAGAATATTTAATTTAATTTAAAAAAATCTTTTGTTTTTATCAAAATCTAACGTATCTTAACTTTTAAATAAAGGATATATCAAATTAGTTACTTCTGCAAAAATATGCGTCATAAAAAGTTCTAAAAGTATTTAGAACAATGTTTTTACGAGAGGTTACGGTCCCTAGAAAATCGGCTTTCTTTAAATATTGTTTATACATTGATCACCAATAAAACTATTTAAAGGAAGATTTTCTAGGGGCCACTCGCTTAAAATAACCATAAGAGATAAAAATTTGATGCCATCAGCAAAGTTGGTTCCAATTGATTGTTCTACAACTTTTTAAAACACTGCATTAGTCTATCACAAGTAATAAAAAAAAGGTAGAATTTTCAATTCATCAATTTTAAGGACCACCTTAACTTCAAATCGGCTAAAAAATACGAAGAAACTTTCCCCAAGACACCATATACCTAAAAGTGATGGTTTTGGTGCTAATATTTTTGTCTTCGTAAATACGGCTTTAGGACCATTGTGCATTGGTCCCCAGGGTCAATTTTCTGGTCATAACTCCAAATTAATTCTGATAAGACGCCAATGAGTGGTTTTGAAAAAAAGCGGACCTCAGCGAGCTCAGTTTCAAGAACTGATTTTTTTTATTGATGTTCAGGATCTTCCTGGTGAACCATCTCGTGGTCCCAAAGGTCCATTTTTCGTCTAAGCGTTCATATTCCGGTCACAACTCCAAATTCATTTTGATAAAACGTTTATGAGTGGTTTCGCGAAATTCATGGAGCTCTAGGATCAGTCTCATGAATTGACAACTTTTGCGGATGTTCCGGATCTATCGGTGGACCATCCTGTAGTCCCCAGAGTCCAAGTTCTAATAAGACGTCTATGAAAGGTTTCGAAAAAAAAACATGGAGCTCTAGGATCAGATTCATGAATTGACCACTTTTCAGGATGTACCGGATCTTCCGGTGAACCATCCCGTGGTCCCCAGGGCCCATATTCCGGTCACAACTCCGAATTCATTCTGATAAGACGTTTATAAGTGGTTTCGAAAAAACCGCGGAGCTCTATAATCAGTTTCATGAATTGACCACTTTTCAGGATGTTCCGGATCTTCCGATGAACCATCCCGTGGTCCTCAGGGCCCATATTTCAGTCACAATGAGTGGTTTCAAAAAAAAAACACGGAGCTCTAGGATCAGTTTCATGAATTGGCCACTTTTACGGATATTCCGGATCTTCCACAGGATCAGACTTGTGTCCTACCGGAAACTGAATCGTTCTGAAATAATGTTTATGCTCAAGCTTTCAATTTGGCCTAGTACCCATTGAGTAATTTACATTTAACTTAGATAAGCTTCAACATTCTGAAACTTTTAATAACATTTCAAACTTCGGACTTCTCAAATTGGATTATGTATGAAGAGCTTTGAGTGGGTTGGTTTATTCCCTTTAAATTCCGTTATAATTGCTTACCTTTTGACAGATACGCGTATTTCGTCTACTATTTGCAGACTTCATCAGTGCCAAGTACTCAACACCAATACTTGGCACTGATGAAGTCTGTAAGTAGTAGACGAAATTCGCGTATCTGTCAAAAGACAAGCAATTATAACGGAATTTAAAGGAAATAAACCAACCCACTCAAAGCTCTTCATAAAGGGATTCCGTTAAGAGGTTCGACAAATTTAAAGGAATGGATTATGTATCTAAATTTGACAGTTTTCAAAAATTTTATGATTTATTTTGTTTCACAACTTTTTAAATCTTTAATAAGTAAAATCATTCATATCGGTATTCCTCGTCTTACCATATTTTACTGAAAAAATAGAGAATTTAATTTCTTAAATTCATTTGCCCCCGACCTGATTTGGAATCGTCTATTAAATGCTACGTCATTTATGGATCGCCTCTAAATAAAAATGCTTTCAAATGAAATGTTGAGCTCAAGATCTATTGAAGTTTTCATGAGCGTAAACTTGGTGTAAACTAACTGTATTCAAGGGGGCCTCCCATAGCTCAGTCGGTAAAGCAAGACCGTGCTGGAAGCAGCTGGTTGTAAAATTGAAGGGACTTCAAAAATCAAAAACAAAATAAGCTAAAGTAAACCTCAGTTCTTTCGCAAAAGAATCAGGGAGGTTCCCCGAAGCCATTGATCCCGATCAAGTTCCAACGCGTGCTTTTCGGATGACGACCACAGGAAATGCTCCCACAGGTTATAACTATCCAAAGATCGCAACTCTCAGATATTGGCTCTCGCAAATGATGCAAAACTCCGCGTGCTGCTTTTTAAAATGCGCTCGAAGGTGAGAGCAAGAATGGCAAAACAAAAGCCCTAAATGCCAACAACGGATGATGAAGACGAAGATAAAGATTTTTCCTCTCGCAAATTACAGACCAGATTTAAGATATGCTAGCAACCGCGACTAGCCACCAAGTGCCCAATAAGTTGCCAAACTCTATTGAATGGGTCTTCTGCCGTCAAGCGGAGGAGGAGGAAAGCCAAGGAAGAAGGTTTCGGACGAGCCGCGCTGCACCACCACCACACATGGATAATGCATATGGGCAACAGCAGCAGAAGCGCGTGGTTCCGAGCAGAAAGAAAGAAGAGCGGTTGTTGACCTCGACCCACAGCCTACTACGATACCTACCTACCTACCTACTAATAGGGAGGAAACGAGCGAGAGAGAAACAGTGAAACATCGTGTGCTCACTGAAAGGGGCGCTCTTTGAACTGAATCAATCATCGTTCGGTATTTGAAGCCGCCACCACCGCCTTGCACTCGTTCCATGACGTTGATGTTGATGAACATCGAAAAACGAACAGTGATTTTTGTATACATAACCTTTCTCAGAGCAAAGAGTGCCCGGCGAGTGTTCGCGTGTCCGATATAATTAAAAAGAAAGTTTGGCAGCAAAAGGATCCAACCTGAAGGAAACAATACAAAAAAAAGTAGAAGAAGGGTCTATGGGAATCTTTGGGGAAAGGCGTTTTGATTGACCATCTAATGGGGGTTGGAAGATTCTTGTATAATGAGGGCACCTAGCAATTATGATGTATTCAATCGCGTTAAAACGTGATTTATCGAACCTAATTTCTCTGCCAACCATTGCGTGTGTTTGACCTTTTTTCCATTTTCTCCAATCCCCTTTCCAGGACATTCTCTCGCAGAGTACGATCGCCCTGAAGATGGAGGTCCGTCCGCGGTCTCTGGTGCCGGATACGAACTGCTTCGTCGACTACCTGGCCGACATTGAGAGCATTGCCCGGGCTCACCCGCTCTATCAGCTGATGGTTCCTATTGTTGGTAAGTTATCTGAGTTCCATTGCCACGCTGCAATCGTAATCCCATGCTTCCTCTCTGTAGTGATCAACGAACTGGAAGGCCTTTCCAAAGGAATCAAAGCTACTGCTGGAGGAACGACGACTGCCACAGCAGCCGGAATCATCACGTCCAAGCTAACGTCCAGTTTGTCGGTGTTTCCAGTAGCGGGGAAATCTGCGACGACGGCGACATCCTCCTCTTCTTCCTCCTCCTCGGTCGATCGACGCTTCGACCCACTGCATGCCGAAAAGGTGGCCAAAGCATCCAAACAGGCCCTGGACTTTATCAGAAAGAAGATTCCCGCCCTAAAGTAAGTGTCGTCGTTTGTGGCTACTACTTTGTAGATTATCCATACGTGGAGGAAGAAGGGACCGGTTTCGTAATGTTGCGTGTTTTTCTGCTCTCTACTTGTTTTTTTTTTTTCACCATCCAGATGCGTAACCACGAAAGGATCGATACTCAATACGTCCACGTTCACCGCCGAGGATGATGAGGACGTGCAAATGTCCAACGATGATCGAATTCTGAAAACTGCCTTAAACCTGTGCCGCGAGCACGCGGAGGAGAAGCGAGGTAGGTGTTTGGACGACGGGGCTTTTGGTTTTTGTCTATATTTGATTCTGGTTTCTTACGGTGGAGGTCCGGTTCGGTTGAGGTGGCGGTGTTGTCATTGGTTTGAGCTTTTTTTGTTGTTGTTTAATAGCGGGTTGCAAGTTCAACCATGCGTGATAAATTCGCACGGTTCGATGGGGGGGGGGGGGGGTGGCTCCGTAATCGTGGTGGGAACATATTTATGGAGTCCTTTAGGCGTAAATATGATGTCACCTGCTACGCATCTAAAATACCCCTCTAAATGAGTTTTGACAGCATAGGAAAGACTGTAAAGGCAGTTGTGGTCTGGTTGTTGGTAACAGATTCCGAAACTCGTTAAACTAAAATTTTGATTTTCTTGTTTTATATACAACTCCACCGTGGATACGAAAGCAGTGAAAGTCCCAGATTCTGTATTTAAATTAATTACGAAAATGTGCTTTAAAGTTTGGTCTGACGGGACGAAAAATATACACACACCCATTTAATTATAGGGTAAATGTTGGCTTCGGCACCCATTGACTGTTTTCGGCAACCAAAATTTAAACGTTAATTTCACTATGTTTTCCCATCAACGCACTTCCCTGAATGTGTCCAAACGATTGTTTAGCCTTTCAGCTTCAATCTGATTATATTTGAACGATCGAGCAATCCAGTAATGCTACATTTTTCTTCAAATAAAGCATACGCACTACAAAATGGGGTTGATTTCGAGTTGCCGATAATAGAACAGCTGGTTAACACGCAGTTCTAATGGGAAGGTTGCCGAAGAAAAAGAGGCTGCCGACAATAGTCACACTCACCTGAGAAGTTTGGAGCCTTGTAAAAACGCTTTCAAAACGTTTTGAAAAATTCTGTCGATTGGAATGGATAGATAAGCAAGCAGCAGATGAATGTAAACAAACAGACACATCATATATGTGCGTGACGCTGAGAAAATGCTAGTAGAAGTGCAGACGCTGCTTAGATTGACGAGAATACGTAAATTCCCCTACTTACTGTTTCCTTAATAAATCTTGTATGGTTATTTTGCTTAACAGCGTGTTCGGGATGTTTATCCAAACCATTTGTGGAATAGTTCTATCATTTGGGTTATCATTCGAATATGGTATTATTGTTTTATTAGGATTTGCATTCATGACATCCATAAAATGGAAACACTTCGAACAAGTTCATAACCACTTCGGAAAGTGCTGAATCATTTCAGAAAGTACTGAATCACTTCAGCAAAAATTGGAATCACTTCCTAAAGTACTGAATCTCTACAGGAAATTGGAATCACTCCGGAAAGTACTGGAATTTAGTGTTTTTGATTTATCATTTCCGCACGAACTAAATCACTTCGAAATGTTCGGAATTACTTAGGATGAACTGAATCGCTTTAGAAAAAGTCGCAATCATTTCAGATGAATCACTTCAAAAAATTTGGAATCACTTCATAATAGTTTAGACCACTCCGGAAAGCACTGGATCATTCCAGAAAGTTTATAATCACTTCCGTAAGTACTGAATCACTTTGCAAAGGACTGAATCACTCTGGAAAAGTTTGAAATCACTTCAGAAAGTACTTAATCACTTCAAGCAATCTCGCACAAACTGAATCACTTCGAAAAGAATTAAGTCGCTTAGAAATGCAGTGAATCACTTCAGAGATGTTCTGAATTACTTACTTAATTACTAATTCAGTTCATAATCACTTTAAAAAAGTCGAAATCGTTTGAGAAAGTATTGAATCACTTCAAAAAATTCGGAATCGCTTCTAAAAGTACTGAATCACTTCAGAATAGTTTGGAATCACTCCGGAAAGCACTGAATCATTCCAGAAAGTTTGTAATCACTTCCGTAAGTACTGAATCACTTTGCAAAGGTCTGAATCACTCTGGAAAAGTTTGAAATCACTTCAGAAAGTACTTAATCACTTCAGACAATCTCGCACGAACTGAATCACTTCGAAAAGAATTAAATCACTTAGGAATGCAGTGAATCACTTCCGAAATGTTCGGAATTACTTAGGATGAACTGAATCGCTTCAGAAAAGTCGAATCACTTCAAAACATTCGGAATCACTTCAAAAGGTACTGCATCACTTCCGAATAGTTTAGAATCACTCCGGAAAGCACTGAATCATTCGAGAAAGTTTGTAATCATTGGCGAAAGTACTGAATCACTTTGCAAAGGACTGAATCGCTCTGGAAAAGTCACTCCAGAAAGTACTTAATCACTGCAGACACTCTCGGAATCTCTTCGAATAGTATTTAATCACTTCAGAAAAGTTTGGAATCACTTCAGAAAAGTTTGGAATCACTCCGGAAGAACTGAATCATTCCAGAAAGTTTGTGATCACTTCCGTAAGAACTGAATCACTTTGCAAAGGACTGAATCACTCTGGAAAAGTTTTAAGTCACTACAAAAAGTACTTAATCACTTCAGACAATCTCGCACGAACTGAATCACTTCGAAAAGAATTAAATCTCTTAGGAATGCAGTGAATCATTTCCGAAATGTTCGGAATTACTTAGGATGAACTGAATCGCTTTAGAAAAAGGTGCAATCATTTCAGAAAGTATTGGATCACTTCAAAAAATTTGGAATCACCAGGAATTCCAGAAAGTTTGCAATCACTTCCGTAAGTACTGAATCACTTTGCAAAGGACTGAATCATTCTGGAAAAGTCATTCCAAAATGTACTTAATCACTTCAAACAACCTCGGAATCTCATCGAATAGTATTTAATAACTTCAGAAAAAATCGGAATCACTTCAGAAAAGTTTGGAATCACTCCGGAAAGAACTGAATCATTCCATAAAGTTTGTAATCACTACACACTGTTTCAAATCACTCCAATTTGTAATCACTTCCTCGTAAACTGAAGCACTTCAGAAATGTATGGAATCTCTTCTAAAAAATCCAACTTTTTTTTTTTTAATTGTTACCGTTCCTTCCGAATTTATCTGAAGTAATTCAATGCTTTCCGAAGTGATTTCGAACTTTTGTGAAGGTAATCAGTACTATCCACAGTGACTCCGAACAATTCAGTGAAGTGATTCAGTACATTTCTAAGTGATTCTTAAAATTTCTGAAATGATTCACTTCTTTCCGAAGTAATTCCTTATATTTCTAAAGTGATCACTTGTGACTTTTCTTGAAATTGACTTGACACTTTTCGATGTGTTTCCGAAATTTCTTGAAGTGATTCAGTACTTTCTAAAGGGATTTAGAACTTTCTGAAATGATTTAGTATCATTCGAAGCGATTCTGAACGCTTCAGAAAAGATTTAGTTCTTTTAGAAGTGATTCCAAACTTTTGAAATGTGATTTAGTATTTTCTGAAGTGTTTTAGAAGTTTTCTGAAGTGAATTCGTTATTTTCGAAGTGATTCTGAATTTTTTCGAAGTGATTCCGAATTTTTTTTGAAGTGATTCAGTGCTTTTCGAAATGATTTAGAAATTTTCGGAAATGAATCCATACTACCTTAAGTTGTTTATTAATTTATTTGATAAGGCTCAAACGAATTAACTTTACAGAGCCGATGATTCTTGTTCACTATACAATACATCTTAAAACTATAGTCAAAAGGTACAACACAATAAACGCTTTATCTTCCGCTATCCAAAAAGCCTCCTCCTCCATCAGAACTGGAGCCGCTTCCAGTAGTTTCATTGTATGGCAGTTACGCCAACGAGGGTCAGAGCGCTTCCATTGCAGCAATGGACGCAAAACGTGGTCAGCATTCACACACTCATCACTAAACGGTTGCTTTCCAAAGTCGACGACGCATCGACCGAAAGAACTGCTGATGAAGAACAATGAGGAGGACCACACAATGGTTGCTGCCGAGAAAGCAGACGATCGCGTGGCACACATCGAGAGTGGCCTGCTTCTTTCGACAGCCGAGTGAACACTGATGATACTACCTTAAGTGACTTCGATAATACCTGAAGTGATCCATTTTATTCCAATGTGATTCCAAATTTCTTAGAACTGCGTCAGTGCTTTCCGAAGTGATTCAAAATTTTCTAAAGTAATTCAGCACTTTCCGAAATAAAATATTCTGAAGTGATTCAGTACTATTCGATGAGATTCTGAACGCTTCCGATGGGATTTAGTTCTTTTTGAAGTGATTCCAAACTTTTGAAATGTGATTCAGTACTTTCCGAAGTGTTTAAGAAATTTTCTGAAGTGAATTAGTTTTTTTTTCCGAACTGATTCCGAATTTTTTTTTAAGTGATTCAGTACTTTTCCAAGTGATTTAGAAATTTTCGGAAGTGAACCAATACTATCTTAAGTGACTTAAATCATATTTGAAGTGATCCAGTTTATTCCGATGTGATTCAAACTTCAAAGTGAGTCAGTATTTTCCGAAATGATTCCGATCATTTCTGAAGTGATTCAGTACTTTCCGATGTGATTTAGAATTTTCTAAAGGTATTCAGCACTTTCCAAATAAATTTAGAACATTTCTGAAGTGATTCCTTACTTTTCGAAGTGATTATGAATATTTCTGGATTGAATCAGTTCCTTCCAAAGTGATTTCAAACTTTTATTAAGTGAATCAGTACTTTTCGAAATAATTCCGAACATTTCTGAAGTGATTCAGTTCTATCCAAAGTGATTATGAACCTTTCTGAATTGATTCAGTTAATTACGAAGTGATTCCTAACTTTTCTCTAGTGAATCGGTACATACCGAACTGGTTTCGATCATTTCTGAAGTGATTCAATACTTTCCAAAGAAATTCCAAATTTTTCAAAAGTAATTCAGCACTTCTTAAGTGATTCAGTAAGTGAGTCAAAGAGTCACTTTCCGATGTGATTCAATATTTTTCAAAAGTAAGTCAGTATTTTGAGTGGTATCTGAGGTGATTTTATGCTATCCGAAGTGATTCTGAACATATCTGGAATGATTCGGTTCTTTTAGAAGTGATTCCAATTTTTTATTAAATGATTCAGTACTTTCCGAAGAGATTCAGAACATTTCCAAAG